GACACTTCAGGTTACAGACGCTTCAGGTTATAGATTCCGCTAACCCAGAAATAGTACCTCGGGTTAAGAACTTTGCTTCAGGATGAGAATAGAAATTGTGCAGCAGCGGCACAGTGGCAGCAGGAGGCCCCATTAGCTAAAATGGTACCTCAGGTTAAGAACAGTTTCAGGTTAAGAACGGACCTCCAGAACGAATTAAGTACTTAACCTGAGGTACCACTGCATATCCACATTAACTCTCTTAATTGTAATTGCTCTGATGGGAAATAGCCATAAATAAAGGTGTTTTTCTTTCCAACAGATTTATATGTTTCTTCCAAACTCTATACAGATTTTTCCTAAGAATGTGATTCATAAAACTCTTATAGATTTTTGCCTTCCCTTACCAAAAACATGCATGCCAGACGAATTTTAAATCATGTCCCTATACCTATCAATGTATGTATATATATATATTTTTTCCTTGCCACCAACAGAGATTATATTGATGCAGGTCCTTGTGGCACACAGAGTTCTGGTCCCTCCTGGGTTATGCAGAGAATGATCCTCCCCTCCAGCCACTGTCTCACAACCTATTCCAAGTGGGGATTGAGGAGTGGAGGATGCTGGTGCCAACATTCCTGTTGATGAAACGTCTTGGCTCCACTGTCTATGGGGGAGAAACCTTTCCCCTGGCATTCCCTTCCCGGGCTGCACCGGCTGTCTGTGGGGAGTTCATTGGGCGAGCCAAGAGATGGGAGGAGGAAGCAAGTGAGCAGTGCAGAAGACATAAAAGCCAACACACACCTCCCTTTGCAACCCTTTCCAAATTGAAAACTGGAAAGAACTGCCTTTTCTCTCTGCAAAGCTTCCCTCACTCCTGCCCAGGGTAAAAATACGGAATAATCAAATAATTAGTGAGTAGTCATTGAAGAGAGGAGAGGAGTAGCATTGGAGTTAGAGCACATATTCTCCCAGATGAATTGCAACACTCATTAAGCTTATATCTAGAGAGGCTTTGATCTGAGCACTTTCCTTTACTGAGCTTGCTCTGTTATGTAGTCCCATAATTCATGTGATATCAGATCCCCACCCTCAATTTACTGTGGCAGCCACTCTGAGGAGCTCCTTCCCTGGGAAAACAAAGTTGCCTCCCTCTTCATCCAACTCCCTTCCCGGACAGGTGGAAATCTCCCTCTTTGCGAAGGTGTTTGGGGCTTCCTCTTCTTGGCTTTGCAACATCTCTGGATTGTTTTGCTGCACAACTGCTCTTGGCTGGCTTTTCATTCATTGAGTTTTTAGCTGTGATCTGAAAATGTGATTGGTTTAGATTTCGTTGTGTGTCACTTTGAGCATTTAGTGGTTTTGAAAGGCTGGGAAAGAAACTGAGGTATTTTATAAATAAAAATAGAAACAGTTGACAGGATGAGCTTGCAGACCGAAGGGGCAACAGATTACTAGTTCTTTGATTTATTGCTTGGTGTTTGCCACTGTGATGATTGTAGGGATGTGTATAGATGTTAGGAGAGGATATATTTATTAGATGTTTTCCTTCCTTCCTCAGGTTTGTGAGTTCAGCAGAGTGCATCCCTTTGCAACTTAAAAGGGAAGCTTAGATTGGCCAGTTTTAGCCTTTTAGTTTAAGTAACCAGTATGCTTTAAGGCAGACTGGATTGATTATCCTTTTCTCTCCCTTAAAACAACAATCACATAAACAGTCTTGTAAAAGGCAAAAAACATTTGCTCACTCAGAATACTTGTTGAGAAGTAACAGATACAGCAGCTTTGTTCAGGCAGGCTTAAAATGGTAATTCTGTTACATAGGCATGCTTAAGTCTGGCTTAAGATGGAGTCTGAGCATTGGAGGCCAGACATGGCAGATTGTTCTTCACATTTATAGCTTGGTGATGAGATAAAGAGTAAAAGTGAAGAGAGGCAAAAGAGCAGAAAGCAAAGATGAATTGCCCAGCCTGGTAAGGAGATTATATATGGCTTTGCCCTACTTCTGGCTGGGCATAGTGGGAGCGTCTCTCACAGAGCTCTCTAGCAAACTTACAGGAAAACTCTGAGCTTCAGCTCCTATCATGTGCCTGTCTAGCAAACATGCATTGTTGGTTTGACTGCATTGTAAATATCCCACAATGATTTGGTGTTCTTGGGATATGTTTCTGTTAAGTTGTGGGTGAACATATCAGACGGCACAGCGATTCTTCAAACAGCTCTTGTTTATTCACAGGCCAGAACAGAACTGAACTGAAGGGTTCAGTCAGCCTGCTTATCTAGAGCTCCAGTACAACATAACTGTAACAATTTTCTAAAACTATCCAATCACTGAACGTCACTTTCAATCCCTTATTTGCATAACTATCTACAGTATCCTCCTGCTGGCCCAGGGTGAGAACTTCAGTACATAACAGTTTCCTCCAACCATCAGGATGTCTCAGGCCAAAAGCATCTGAATGGAGTCAGTTCTGAAGGAAAAGTCTGAAGGTGTATGCTTTTCTCTAAAGTGAAACTTTGCTGAGGTCAACGGGGATTGCACAGGAGATCTTCCCAGGGACTGGGCTTCTCTGTCCTCCCAGCTGCACTGTTTGGCTAGATTGCCTCTGCTTTGCATTTGCTCCATCTTATGCTGTCATTTTTACCACATTTCCCATTGTCAAGTGATGATGGGAAAGAAGTTGTTGGTAAGCCAGACCATTTCATATTACAGGAGGGGAGAGGGCTGCTGTGCTCAAGTCCTGCTCATGGCCTGAGTGTAGGCATCTGGTTGGCCACTGTGAGAACAGGATGCTGGACTAGATTGGCCAATGGCTTGACCCAGCAGGCACTTCTTATGTTCAGCTCTGTTGTCCACTCTTGTCGATCTTGCATGTGTGCTTTTGGCAAAAATCTGAACATGTTCAAGGGTGTGGGCAGCAACAAAGCAGTGTTGAGGTCCGTCATCTCTCCATGAGCATTGGCTTGTAGTGGAATGCCTTTTTTGATATGCTGGCGGATGCCACCTGATCCCTTAGAAGAGGCTCATTAATTCTCTGTCATGCTACCACCCACTTCTGTGTGTGTTGTTAACAATATTAACCTCCATCATAGGTGCTGGCTCCCTGGGGCCTTGAGTGCCTGAGCACCCACAGAATTCCCCATGAAGGGGCCGGACACCCACAAAATTTGGCACCAGGGCCACCACAGCCCCAGGCACCCACGGTCGCAGGGCCAAGCTGGCACTCTTGACTTCCATTATATGCCCAGCTGAGCCTACAGCCAAGGTTGTTGGGGTTACCTCAGGTTTGTGTATGATTAAGGATGACTGAGTGGACAACAGGCAGATATGGCCAACTCTCCTAGGAAAGACTCCAGTGCAATGCAGCAGTTGTTGCATAGGCGCACAGGGCTCTTGCAAGCTCTGCTTGGTTTTGCTGAGGCTTTTTGCTGCCTGCCATTATTGTGTGACAGCTGGCTGCCATATAAAATGTCTGCCTCAGAGTCAAAATGTCTCAGGGTTTATCCACTCTTAATTTTCCCCTGCTTTTTCTAGGCATGGCCCACACTTAAAAGCTCAATGTCTGAGCACACTTTTCTTTTGCTCTGGAGCTTTCCTCATGAAAACCCACTGCCAGAAACTCAAATTGACATTTGCTCTGACTGAGCACTAAAGAGCGAGTTCTTGTGGGGAAAGCTCCTGGTAAAAACAAAACAAAATGCTCATACCTGGAGTTTTAAGCACAGACGTTTGCCTGGAAAGAGTGGGGCAAAAGGTAAGTGTGGATAAGCCCACAGTCCTGCGTATGAGTAAAAGTTGGAGGCCACAGAGCACTGATTCTGACTGCTTGCAGTACGCCCATCTCCCCGCATAGACTGCACAGTCAAAAGACTAACCGGTGCCTAGACTGTGTGGGCAGGCAGGGAATCTCTGTGAACTTGTATGGAGCAAAGAGACCAGGATGACTTCAGTCCCTTCTTAGACCCGTTGTTGATATGTCTGCCTCCACTCTTATCTGCCCATTGCTTCTGGGAATCAAAATGTTTTGTTTCTTGTGTCAGCATAATTATGCATCTTCACCTGCATCTCATGTCAGGGCTGGTTCAGCTGCAGGTCAGCCCAGAGACTCAGAGACTAGCAGTAAAGGTGATTCTTTATTCAAGGAAACAGAATACAAACAGAAAAACCTAAGGTGAGACTGGCCCCAGTGAAGCAGTAGCCAGAACTGGCGATCTGGGCCTCCCACTTCCCCCTAAGCCTCCTCTCCACCCGGCTGTTTTCCCTGCAGTCCACCAGGGAGGGGCCCCTTGAAACCTCTGGGCCCATTGTTCTGCCACATGCAAAAGTCTCTGAGACCTTGGAGACAAGAGGGGAGCTGAATACAGTAGGACTGGCAGGCTCCTATGAATCTGTTGCAGTCTCAGCCCCCACCTCCAACTGTCTGTCCTATGTCTGCAGTATTTTCATCCTCTTTGTTATGTACTAAGTTGAATAGGATCCACAAGGCAGCAGTCTGATTGGTCCTAGAACAATAGGATTCAGAATGCAGCAGTCTGATTGGTCCTAGAACAATAGGGTCCGGAATGCAGTAGTCTGATTGGTCCACAGGAGCCAACCAATCCAGCTCCAGGTAGAAGTGAATCCGCAACCTGATTGGCCAACAGGTGAATCCCGGAATTAGCCAATCACGTGGGGCCCATTGTGTAAATATTGTATATAAAGCAGATATTCTGGGGGAACTTCCATTCCTCCTCACCACTATGAGCGGAATAAAGAGCATGAAATCCACTCTCGACTCTGAGTATATTTCACTCTTCTTCCTCTCTCTCACTCAGAGCTGTTGCTTGTCCAGTATTCAGCCATTCCCCCCCCCTCTTCCGTGTCCCACCAGCATCCCCCTGGCCTGGAGTCTTCCTCTTCTGAGGCTTCCCTGGGGGGGCCTCTCCTCATTGTCCAGCCAGACCCTGACATTTCACTAGAGCCTTGAGTTGCCTGTTGCTCTGAGCCCGTCTCTCAAGCCTTTTCTCCTTCATCTTCTCAGGTTGGCAAGTTGATCCAAGAAGCGGCTGGGAGGAGTAACTTAAAGAGGGTGACGCTGGAACTTGGGGGGAAGAGCCCCAATATTATCTTTGCAGATGCCGACTGTAAGTAAGGACAAGGGAGGGGTTTTGTAAGGTTCACATTCTAATGCAAATAATGTCACGTAAATAACTCTCACTGATGTCCTTCAAAATCAACGCTTCTCTGAGTTTTGTGATGCAGTCCTCCAACCAATTAAGATGTACAGAAATGTATACAGTGGTACCTCGCAAGACGAATGCCTCGCAAGACAAAAAACTCGCTAGACGAAAGGTTTTTTTGTTTTTTGAGCTGCTTCGCAAGACGATTTTCCCTATGGGCTTGCTTCGCAAGACGAAACGTCTTGCAAGTTTGTTTCCTTTTTCTTAACACCGTTAATACAGTTGCGACTTGACTTCGAGGAGCAAGTCATAGAACGCGGTGTGGTAGCCTTTTTTGAGGTTTTTGAAGACTTTGGTGATTTTTGAAGCTTTTCCAAAACTTTCCCGACACGACACCGTGCTTCGGAAGACGGAAAAAATCGCAAGACGACAAAACTCGCAGAACGAATTAATTTCGTCTTGCGAGGCACCACTGTATGTCATGGAAAGTGTATATTACTTTTAAAAGTACATTATATCAGGGAAACCCCTCCCCCAAGTGTATATATTGTTGTAAAAGTTGGGCACCATCACCACTCTTTGCTGAGTGGTTCCAGGGGCTTCTGGGCATTCACTTTGGAAAATAGAAGACTGCCATAGCTTTAAGAAATATGATTTATTCACATATCCACACCTTCAGTCTGCATGGAGGGGGTCCAGATCTCAAGCAGTGCAGCGGTACAAATAAAGAGGACAGAGGGAAGATTTTCTCCCTCTCTCATAATGAGGGCACTTGAGGACATCCAGCGAAGCTGAATACTGGGAAATTCAGGACAGAGAAACAGTTCTTCACACAGTGCATAGTTGAACTGTGGAACTCACACCTACAAGAGAAAAGGATAGCCATCAACCCTGATGGCTTTAAGGGCGGATTAGAATTTGGGGAGAAGAAGGCTGTCAATAACAACTAGTTATGACGGCTATTTTGTTTTTTCTTTATTAAATTTATTTTATATAATGATAATGATAATAATAATAATAATAATAATAATAATAAATTTATTATTTACACACCTCCCATCAGGGACAAGAGTGGTGCTGTGGGTTAAACCACAGAGCCTAGGACTTGCCAATCAGAAGGTCGGTGGTTCGAATCCCCACGACAGGCTGAGCTCCCGTTGCTCGGTCCCTGCTCCTGCCAACCTAGCAGTTCGAAAGCACGTCAAAGTGCAAGTAGATAAATAGGTACCGCTCCGGCGGGAAGGTAAACGGCGTTTCCGTGTGCTGCTCTGGTTCGCCAGAAGCAGCTTAGTCATGCTGGCCACATGACCGGGAAGCTGTACACCGGCTCCCTCGGCCAATAAAGCGAGATGAGCGCCGCAACCCCAGTGTCGGCCACAACTGGACCTTTTGGTCAGGGGTCCCTTTATCTTTACCTTTACGCTGCCCATCTGGCTGGGTTATTAACTTTCTTAGATTAAATCCTTGGATCACACAGTGGTTTACAATATTAAAACATAAAAATACATCAGATAGTAACAAACAAAAACAATACTCCCCCCGCCCAGTGTTTATCTGTGCTCTACCTCCACAGTCAGAGGCAGCAATGCTTCTGAGTGCTAGATGCTGGGAATCAGAAATGGGGAGAGTGTTGCTTTTGTCCTCACAGGTCCTTCCTCTAGGCATCAGTTTGGCCACTGTGAGAAGCGGATGCTGGACTCGATGGACCTCTGGTATGATCCAGCAGACTGTCTTTACGTTCTTATGATATTTGGACAAAAGCTGCCAGTTCCCGGTTACTGGGTTGTCATTTCAACAACAGGCTGAGTTCTGAGTTGTCTGCCAGTGGTTTTATGATCTGACACAGTCTGAATTATGCAGGCCAAAATATTAATTAATCCGTTGTTGTCGTAACTAGCATCCAGGACCTCCTGCAGAGCGCCGTGGGTTTTTTCTTACGGCCCTCGAAACCTTTTTGATCTCTGCCCTGCTCTTACAGGAATCCCTACGTAAAACAGAATGAATCATCTGCAGTAACGGCAGCATACACAAATAACATGTGTGTGGATGTTTTGATCTTTTCAAACGTCTGCCCACCACCCCAGCAATGGAGTTTTGTTCTGTTGCTTTGAAGTTGAGCAGCATTATTTGCAGCTTGGAGGGATGTGTGTGACGTGGGCTCAGGAGCCACAGATGTGGGGAACGGTCCCTCAGCATGTGGCTCTCTTGCTTTTGCAGTGGATTACGCAGTGGAGCAGGCACATCAAGGGGTCTTTTTCAACCAAGGCCAGTGCTGCACCGCCGGCTCCCGGATCTACGTGGAGGAGCCCATCTACGAGGAGTTTGTTCGGAGGAGCGTTGAGCGCGCCAAGAGGAGGGTGGTGGGGAGTCCTTTTGACCCCACCACAGAACAAGGACCACAGGTAAAGGGAAGGTATCCAGGGCCCGGATACTAAATGCATTTCTATGGTGCATGCCAAGTCCTGGAAAAACATTGGCCACATTAGCCCATGATCCCGCTTTAAACACTCATTGCTTCCCCCAAAGAATTCTGGGAGCTGTAATTTGTTAAGGGTGCTGAGAGTTCTTTGGGGACCCTTGTTCCCACTGAAGAGCTACAATTCCCAGAGTTTCTTGTGAAGAGAGATTGATTGTTAAACTACTCTAGAAACTAGAGGGAGGGAGGGAGGGAGAAGGAGATCAGGCGAAAACACTATACAGTGGTACCTCAGGTTACATACGCTTCAGGTTACATATGCTTCAGGTTACAGACTCCGCTAACCCAGAAATAGTACCTCGGGTTAAGAACTTTGCTTCAGGATGAGAACAGAAATCGTGCTCCGGCGGCACAGCGGCAGCAGAAGGCCCCATTAGCTAAAGTGTTTCTTCAGGTTAACAACAGTTTCAGGTTAAGAACGGACCTCCGGAACGAATTAAGTACTTAACCCGAGGTACCACTGTAACAGCTATGCAATGCATGTAAACTTCAGTGTGTAGTTTTCCAAGAGAGCAGATCTCCAGGTGCCAGGCAGTCACGGCAAAGAAATGAAGAGGAGGAATTGATAAAGACGGTTTGTGCTTTGCAGATCTATGTCCACAGCCAATGATCCTGTGATTCCAGGCACATCTTGTTGGCCGCTGTGAAAAATAGGACACTGGAAAAGATGGTCTTGTATTGGGCGCACCCAGTTTCTGCAGGGCCCTACTTATGCTCATCTTCTCTTTCCTTCCTTCTCCTTCTTTTTCTTTTTAAAGATTGATAAGAAACAATACAATAAGATCCTGGAACTGATTCAGAGTGGCATTGCTGAAGGCGCAAGGCTGGAATGTGGAGGCAAAGGACTGGGAAGGAAGGGATTCTTCATTGAGCCCACGGTCTTCTCCAATGTAACGGATGATATGCGCATTGCCAAGGAAGAGGTATTTGTTCCTCTCATCCTCTTTCCCCACACTCTGGGTCAAAGACCTTGTTGGATGTTGCCAGGAAAAAGCCCTATTCACAGGGGCTCCTGAAGTTCCCCCTGGCAGGGCACCAGTGGTCAGCCAGGATGAGCACTGGCCAAGAGTCCCAGAAGCACCCCTTGTTTGCCTGACCCAGCTGTGCCAGCTTACCATCCTCTTTGCTGGATTCCCAGGAAGCCATCTCAGTGGTTGGTGGGTGGGTGGGTGGGTGGGTGGTGGTGTGGTGCCATTTCTAAACAAGATCCATTTTTTTCTGAACAAGAGCCAAACATTTCTGAACGTATCTGAACAAGATCCATACTTGACTCTCATCCACGGTGACTGCCTGCCATTTTAATTTACCCCAAATGCCCACTCCATTTCTGTTGCAGATCTTTGGGCCTGTTCAAGAAATCCTGCGGTTTAAAACCATGGATGAAGTCATTGAAAGAGCCAACAATTCAGACTTTGGACTGGTTGCTGCCGTCTTCACCAATGACATCAACAAGGCCTTGACCGTTTCCTCCGCAATGCAAGCAGGAACTGTCTGGTGAGGAGGAGGGAGGAGGGCTGGGGGCAGGGGGTGCCTGCTCTGGAAAATGGGGTGTCTGTTTCTGGGGTGAGGGATAACATGGAGACTTTGTAATCAAGGTGTTTTCTTTCTTCCACTGACAGGATCAATTGCTACAACGCCTTAAATGCCCAGAGTCCTTTTGGAGGATTCAAAATGTCTGGCAATGGGAGAGAGATGTAAGCAACACTTCCAATGAGGGCTTTGGGGCTCATACCTGTCCAAATGGTGCCTCCACCAGAAAGGGGGAAATGGTGGCTCTCCAGGTGATGCTGTGGGAGTGATGTGGAGGAGGCAGTCATGCAAACAAGCCCTTCGTCTGGACCCACATTGACCTTTCAGCACCTGACCCTGGGCATTTTAAAGCCTGATAGAGCTCAACCAAAATGGCCCTCAATTTGGCAAAAGTGTATGGGGGGCGGGGAGATTGTTATGTTCAGTGTTTGACCTTGAACCGCTTTATTATAGTCCAGTGGAAACAGGGTTGTAGCGGTGGTGGAGCCAGTTCCTTTTCTCCCCAAGCAAAAGCTTAATGAACTGCCTACATTCCTCCTGCGAGGAAACTACTGCCAGTATCCCCAGAGGGGACTTGGGGTGGGGGAGAGCAGGGGATGGAGGGCACTGAGTCTGCATTTCCTTGGTTGAGCAGAGGGATATTCTCCTCTGCAAGCACCACTGAAGTGAACGGAGGTTTATGATGCTCTACACGTGCCTCTCCCATTCATTTCAACGGGGAGCACACACAGGGATTTCTCAGGTCAAATCTCTTGTCTTTCACCACTCTCCCTCCTTTAGTGGCATGCAGGATCTGCTTCCTTACCTTATCGTGTGGGAGGGTTGGCCATCCCTGTTTGTTGGCGCATCACCCAGACTCTGATAAGCGTCTCTGTGTTGTACTTGTAGAGAGGAATGGTGTTTAGTCACAAATCTTGCACATTTAATTTGTTTTCTAGGGGAGAGTGTGGACTGCGAGAATATTCCGAAGTGAAGACTGTGACGATAAAGGTTCCTCAGAAGAACTCGTAAGAAGACAATGTGCCGATCACTGCAGTACATCAAGTGACCCTCTGTATTCCTTTTATGGGGACTAGCACTCAGGAATTTTTAAAAAAACAACGACACGGATTTCTTTTTTAAATAGCATTGCAACCAGGCTTGCCATTAAGCTGGGTGGGTTTTCACCCCACTGTTGGCCACAAACCACTCGTTTAATATAGTACAGTTAGAAAACATTCAGAAATGTTCCCACTATAGAAATTGCAAGTAAACACACGCTATCGTGTTCCTGAAAAGAACTGTTTTAAACTGACCTTCCCAACCATCATGTCCTTGATTTGCTCCATTCTTGTATGACGTTGGCGCTGCAACTGGATTCATTGGGGGACCCAAAACTCAGCACCAGCCACTTACCAGAAACATCAGCCCCAAGGCTGGAGGTGGGCAACTTAACTGGAGATTGTAATGTGCGTTCTTGAAAGCATAATCCTTTTCTCCTGAAGTGAGTTTGTATTCCTCCTCATTTCAGGGAAGCTTGCAGAAACACAGTGCTCCAACAGATAAAACGAGGGTAGAGTTTTGGACTCTCTCTGTAGCTGCAGGTGTGTCTTCGTAAGGAAACCATTTCCCTTTTGGATCTGACATAAAGCGCACTTGCAGTATAGCCACCACCACCACCTCCCCCCCCCCCCAAAAAAGGCTGGTTGTGTTTACAAATGCTCTTCTAGACAGAAAGGCAGGAGCTGAGTGAGAGGAAAGGGGCCACTTCAGCCACCTGCTCCCAGGTAGAGTTATGAGGGAGCAGATTCCTGGAACTGGACCCTCTTCAGCTGCAAGCTGGATTTCTACCATCAGTGTTGCAGCTGATGAGGGGCAGCGAACGTGAGGAGGAAGAGCATGCCTGGAACCCCATGGCACAATCTGCACAAATGGAGCTGTGGGAAAATGGAAATGAGCCCATTGCATCCCTGGGGGCAGTTCCAAATCCTGAGCAGAATTTGAGGTTTCGATGATCAAATCGGCAGGTTAACTGCAACCTCACAGCTCCCTCCATTCAGAGCAGTGCTAAATGGCTTTAGTGACAAGGGGCTGCTGTCAGCCATGTTCTGCATCATTTTTGCCCCCCTTCATCATGCTTTGCCTAGCACCCCCAAATCAGTGGCAGCAGCTGGGAGACAAACATGGTGCCATCACACCATATGATATGTTAATGTGTGGGGAAAGGAGTCCCACTGCATCCAAAATGGCTGTTGCTGATTTGGCCCCTGGAGCAAGGAGGAACCTCCCTCTGCAGTTCGTCTGTCTTTTTTCTGACTTTTTTGCAGGCAGGTCCTCATTTCACGTAGGAAGGTGAAACAGTGGCAAGTGACCTGGGCTTTCTGTGACTTTCACTCTTGACTGAAGCCTTGCAAAAAATAAAAATAAAAATGATCCTTTGGCCGTGGTTCTGCAGAACAGTGGTCTGACTTGAGAAATTGCAAATTTTTGTTTATTATTATTAAAGACCAACTTGCCAAAAAGAAAAGCTGAGTAAGGAGGAGGCAATCCCTAGATTTGTCATGGCTACTCTTAACCATACCAGTTCCAAGTACACTTGCCAGCCCTCCTCTCGTGAAGGAAGGACATTCACTGCTGCTGCTCCTTCCATAATGGTATTCAGCAGTTTGTGGCCGGCCTTTGAGAAGCACTCGATTTAGGGCCAAGGGGGCGCAAAATTGAGAAGATCCATTTGGGGGTGCCAAACTTTGGCCTCCCCCAGGGTGCCATATTACGAAAGATGACTAAAGTCTGCCCCTGTTTTGATTGTCACCTCCTTTGCAGCCGCAGCCTCTCAGTGCTACTTGAATGAGAAATCTACTTGTTTTTTATTCCCCAAAACCAACATTGCTCCTGTTGCATAAGGATATAAATGCATGCAGAAGGGGACTGCTAGGTGATGCTGCCAGGTGAGCATTAGTGGCACCAGCCAAGGGTGTGGGTGCTGCAACAGCGTGGTTTCCCTCAAGGAGGCCAGATCCACATACAGAGGCCCACAATGTCATCACTTTCCCACTTTTTCTAATGGTTCCACTCCGTTCATCTATTTGTGCTTCTGGCTGCCAACTGCAGAACAAGGGCTGAACCAAGAGGCAAAAAGCAATGTTGGCTCCACTCATTAACTCACTCCCCTCTCTGTTGCTGAACTGCAACTTATCACCAAACTTAAAACCATGGAGAGACCTGGTCTGAATAGAGACATTGGATTCTTATCTCATTATACATGATAAAGCTATTTTTAGCCATCTCACCCCTTGCTTTTCCTGTAAGACCAATTGCAGTCGTTAACAGTCATCAACAGGTTTACCACACCTGTTGATGACTCACCAATCACCCATTCCCACTGCCCTTCTGAGTAATACCCCTCCCCACCCTCTCACTATATATAAGGGTCTGGTGACTTCTGTTTCAGCGTATCTGAAGAAGTGTGCATGCACACGAAAGCTCATACTAATAACAAACTTAGTTGGTCTCTAAGATGCTACTGGAAGGAATTTTTTTATTTTGTTTCCCCTCTCTGTGTGAATCTCACAATTCACCTGTGCGGTAGGTTAGGGTGAGAAACAGTGAGTTGCCCAAGGTCACTCAGTAAGCTCTATGGTGCAACAGAGATTTGAATGTGGTTTTCTCTAATTCAAACCCATCACTCTACTGATACATCGAGGTGGATCCCGGTTCATTGTGTGGTTTAAACACGTGGCTCTAATTTACACTAGCGGCTGCAAAACCATTTAGAACTCTGGGCACATCTGGATTTTTCAGTGAGTGATGTGATTGTCACCCCTTCTGGTCACAGATCTAGCAGAGTTAATGTGAACCTTGAAAAGCACATAGAGCTGAAACAGGAAGTGAGAAAGAGTGTCATTCTTCCATCTTCCTCCTTCAGCTCTATGTACTTTTCAATGGAGAAGAAGTTAACCACCCTTTCCAGAAAGTGGGGAATTCATGGGCACCAGGGAAAGACCTAAAGGGCACAACTGAGCCCATGGAATGGTGTCTCCTGATTTACACCCTCATTCAGCCAGGGGTGATTTCAAAGGCAGGAGTCCTTTGTTCCAGATGAAAGATGGAGGCCTCATGCTCTTTATAAAGGAGAAAACAAATTCAAAGACCTTCATTCGCATGTTATCCCCGTGGGAACATCCCACATCTGACAAAATCATGTCTGGATGAGACATAGAACAAATGTGAAATGTAGTGGCCAATCATGAAACAGAAATATCAGCAGTTTTTGGACACAATTTACCAGGAATTGGGCCAAAGCACAGAACGTCCCCAAGGGTGGTATTCAGAGGCGGTTGAAACACCAGTGCAGAAGTTGCATTTTTGACTGGTTGATGGAGGGTTTTTTCTGGACTTTTGAAAGACAGCTGTGTGTACTCAGCTGTCCATGTTTGCTACAGCGTCTTTACAAAAAATGGATCTCCCAAAATGAATCACTCTGGGTCAAAAACTCAGACAGAAACTCTGGACACTGAAAAGGTCCATCCCCTCTAAGCTGAAGGGTTGAGAGTCAGTCAATAAGGAACCTGGCCACTGGAAAGTTGTCGTGAGAAGGGGTGAGAGCTTGGCGTAGAAGAAGACCAAGGCAGCCTCTTGCTCCACACAAGGATCCGGTTCAAGCGTGCAAGCTCAGCAAAGTACTTCACTGGCTGGCCCAAAGCTGCCTAGAACCTGAAACATTTAATGCAAAAGGCTCCTCTTGCCACTACATCACATGGAGCACCCTGTGCCCAGAAGTTCCCCTGCACAAGCTCCAGTGGCATGAGTTGCAGAAATGTGCTCTTGCACAATGCACACTTGTGTCAAATGGGCTTACCCAGGAGAACTTCCCCCTGGAATGGTGGGGCTCTCTGTCTCCCTCTCTGCCACCCCCTTCAGGCTCTCTCCATCTCCCCTCTCCCCTCCCTTCCCAGCCCAGCCCTCTCTGCATCCTGCCCCCCATGTTTGATATTTATGCCATCCTTGTTTGTCTCCAAATATAGATATATATTTTTTGCTAGATGCATAATTCAAGCTGTTCTTTTCCGAACGTGGAGATGCAATTGCAAGCTATACCAGAGCTGTGCAACATGAATGTCATATACTCCTATTGTAGGGTTATGTCAGAGTTTTGTTTTCTTTTTTGAAAGAAATATGCTTTAAGAAATTAGTTTTCTTATTATCTCCAATATTCATTGTGAAGGGATAATTTCCATTTCTTTTTCTGTTACATGCCTTTGGAAGAAACTCGTGCTAGCAATAAGCATTTATACTGTGTACTCCTCTGTATTATATGTGTCTCGTCTATTGTTTGTGTGTTATTTCAAATAAATTCAGGTAACGACTGAAGTTGCCATTTTTCCCACCACCCTCAACGCACCCGAGTCGGTGAAATTTATCTTTTCATTTGCCAGATACATCATGTGCTGCTCAAGGGCACTTCGAAGTTTCCTGTTATCAGTTTTAATCCTGTGTATGGTTAGAGACGGCAAATGAAAACAGGTTATTGAAGTCTTTACTATTAAGTTTCCCTTAAAGGGCTTCCGAGGTGAAACTCGGCCGTCCCGTCTCATTGGTGGGACTCTGCTCTGCACAGAGGCAAGGCCTCCTCCTCAGTAGCTTTATTTTCCTTTGCAAAATGAATAGAGAGTGGGAGAAAGAGTCTGATTTCCCCCCCTTGAATATTATTGCAGCTGCATTTCTTTCTTTTTAAAAAGAAAACTCTGAATTGTGGATCCAGGTCAGAGGCAAAGTTCATCCTCACCCACTGTGGCCATAAAGTTTAGCTATCAGCGAAAGTCTGAAATCATCGGCCTCTGCAGGGTGCTCAGGCAAACTCTTGCTTCTTGGAGGGAGTCCTGGATAAAGTTTTAAGAAGTGATGATTTTTATTTCCTCTCTAGATGAGTCACACAGATACGATGAAGTTAACACCCAGATCGCTTGCAGAAGAGACACCCGCCAGCTCTTTTGAGCCACAGATTCTAAGCATGCTTGCCGGAAGGCCTCCTTAAAATCAACTGGCAGCTGCTTCCCAGAAAAGTGGCCATGGACTTCAAGTCCTGGGCTTGGTTTTCCAAGCCTACAGCCGGCTGATCAGCTTCTAAGGCCACAGATGTGACGTAGGGCTCATCCCTCTTTGCTCCACATTTCCAGATCCATGTCTGACAGCTTTTTTGTTTTGTTTTTCCCAGCAAAAACCCGCTATTTACCACTGAATCAGAACAAACAGCAATCTCTGGGAAAAACCCAAACAGCCATCTGCTCTGATTTAGCAGTAAATATCGGGTTTTCCCGGAGAAACAGCAAAGGAAAAGGAAAAAAGTGGTGGGGAGTGTTTATTTGAGTCTCCCCTTGAGGGTGCAGTCCCCTTATGTGGCTCTTGCCTATTCCGACCCCTTATTTGTAGTTGGGAGAATGCAATTCTCCCCCCATTTCCATGGCTAGGAAGTGAAGCACCTGACACAAACAATCCTGCCCACTCTCCTCGACACACCATCTTCGTTCTGCCTCTGACTGTGGAATTGCATCTGCTCAGCTTCTTGGGCTGCTGTGCATGTCTTGCACCTCTTGGGCATGTTCAGGGAGGAGAAGGCTAATTATGATCACTGTATGTGCTACCTCCAGAATCAGTGGCAGTGGGCCTCTGCACATCAGCTTCTGGGTATCAGGAGTGAGGACAGCGGTGCTGTTGCACCCAGGCCCTGCTTGCAGACTTCCTATAATGGCGGGCATCTGGTAGGGCACGGCAGGAATGGGACTTTGGACTAGAAGGGCCCCCTTGGGGCTGATCCAACTGCACAGCTCATGTTCTTATGACTGAAAAGCATTCTGGTCCTACCTGCCGTCCTCTGTTGACTTGGGAGGCCACCAAGTTAAGGGAGGGAGGTGGCGTCGTGGCTGAAGTTTTTCTTTGATTGGCTGAAATAAAAGGGGAAGGTGGGGTGGGGTTTTTTTTGGGGGGGGGGTTGGACACCAGTCTGCAGTGATTGCTCTACTTACATGGGGGGGGGGGCGGCCAAGGCCCCTGGAGCGTTTGAAAAGGCACGTTGCGAAGCTTGAGGCGTGATTAGTCTTCCCAAAGCGGACACTTTGAAAACAAAGCCCTGGCCATTTGTTGGCGTCCCACCTAGGAACGCAGCTGAGAGAGCCAAACACCCATGAGAGAGTGTTCAAGATGTGCTGTGAGTGTTTTTAAACCCCATCCCACCCACATTTTATCATAGCTGGTCGCTGGCCAGCCTGTTTCAAAACAAGAGCGGCGCTGGTGGCAGAGAGGACAGCCTCTCCTCTTGGAAGGAGAAGTGGCAACAGAGAGGGGCCCAGCAGAATGGTCTGGATCCTCCGGACCTGCCATCCCTCCCCCTGCCCAACCCCACCAGTTAGGAGCAAGAGGGTCCTTTATTCCAAATTGCCAATTTCCCTTTTGCTTGTTAAAGGCGTCTTGCAGCCCGGGTTCTTGGGTTCCGAGCTCTGGGCTCTCAGTACCTCAGGTGACCTCCTCCAAATCTGGGCTTTCAGCTGCCGCCCAAGAGACACTCTGATCTCTGGCTGGTTTTGTCACAGACTTGATAGCCTGGCCAGCTATGAGACATGGTTCAAACAAACTAATATTTCTTAATAATAGGAAATGCTGAATATAACCAAGTTCTTACAGTGTTTGTTTTCAATAACAGTGTTTGCATAGCTTTGCATTTCAAAACATGTGCTTATAACTCTATTCCTATTCCTTACCTTATATCTGAGAAATATCTCCCTACATAACATTTTACAGTATATCACTTAATATAAAAATCTTGTGCAGGTCAGTAACAAAGACAGACACCGCAGGACCTTCCACAATGGGGAGAACTTTCCTTCACAAGGGAGTGACAGCTCCTGGTTTTGTTCGGAAAGACCCTCTCTGTGGGCCTCCTTCCTCCCTGCCACACACTCTCCCTCATGGCTGCCAGCTGATCACTTGCCAGGCAGAAATCTAACTGGGCAAGCAGGTGAGGCCAGGGTAGCTGCTGTTCTGGCTTCTCCTCCTACCCCACTGTTGGCTGAGCCAGAGGGAGGCACAGATGAACAAACTAGCAGAGCAGG